CACCTTTTTCTTTTTTAACTGAACATACGGTGAAGAGAATCTAATTATTGACTAGATTCCGTTATTTTTTAATCCCTCTTTGCTTTAATTCGCTCGCACCGCGATGTCAAAGTGCCGTGTTGATAATTGTTTATTTGGTTTTTAAATGCAGTGTTGCCAACTTTTGATTTTCAAAAAGCACCAAAAACTTGGAAAAAGGGCGTTTTACCACACTAAAAGCACCAAATTTTTTTTTAATCAAAGGATGCTTTTTTCATAACAGTTTGTATTTAACAAAAGCAAAAAATTAACAATATTTATAAGAATACATACATAAATCAATACACAAAACGTTTTCGCTCATAACGATTGAATAGCCTCTACACATGCTATGATGACTCATGCTTAAGGCCTGTTTGCAGTTATCAAGAAAAGCTAAAATTCCATACAAAATGACGTACAAGAAATGGCTAAGAAATTTTCTTGAGTAAAATTTCCTTCAGGCAGTACGCAGTTCTTAAGAAATTTGCTACGCTTTTACTACGGTTTTCTAAAGTTTTTTGTGAAAAAAGAGCACAAGGCAACCCAGGTTTGCAACAGAAATATATGCCCGTTCCATTATTTCTTGAGGAAAGAGTGAGGCAACAGGCTGTGAAGTATCAAAAATGTCAAAATTCCTTGGACACACACACGAAATAATGGCAAATTTTTCTTGACCGATTTCTTGAGAGCTGCATACCAGCGTAATACCGAAGTACTATTAAAACTACTATATCTCGAGAAAGAAAAATCGAATCGCAACACACGAAAATAATGCCATAAGTAGAAATGAGCAAAAGATTTTATGTTTTCATTATATAACCTCAAATATCGCAAAAACCCGTGTTTTTGGCAATATGGGGGTAGGATATCTAAAAATTCTAGTACTAGAGCAATTGTGCGGCCAGATTTGGATTCAGCACCAAGAAACGATGTGTTTTACTCAGGTGGTAAAAAAATCAAAATTTGTACAAACATTAGAAAGAAAAAAAAGAAATACTTAACTTACCTGCGTACGAGCATTTTCAACGCGACTAGAATTCAACAAGGTGGGTTTGCAACTTCAGCTTTTTATCAATTATGGTGCATTTAAATTTGTATAGTCTTGTAAATTCCGCATCTTCATGAGACACCGCAGCTTATAATATTTCAAATTATTCCAGGTTTTAACTATCTCGGAGTAATATTAGTTTTAAAAAAGCACTAAAAAGGGCACTAGGCACTAAGTAATTTTTTTTGGCGTTTGAATTTTCAAAAAGCACTAAATCTAGTGCTTAAAGCACCAAGTTGGCAACTATGTTTAAATGTGTTTAATACAAGCCGAAGTTGTAAAAATCTGCTTTAAATCGTGTGTTCATTTTTAAATCATATTAAATTAGATAATTGTAAAGCAGAGAAATACCATATACTCCAAATAGTTTAATACAAATGTAATATGTACTGGTACAGGCAGAGCTACAAGGAAAAATATCGTATTTTTGCAAATTTTAATGGATTAGAAATGAACTTAAGGTGGCCAGATGCGCTGATTTAATCAGTACATGTGCAAATTTTTTTTCTACTGTACTTATTTTTAAGAGCCCGAGATCAGTACGCAAAATCTACTGATTTTTTTGAGTTTGTACTGATTTTGTACTGATTTTTGTATTTAATAAATACTTTTGTAAATTGGTATAATTGACATTTACTTGAGGTTTATATGTTCAAAACAATGTTTTTTGACAGCTCATACGGGTGAGCAGATTGAAAACATTAATTAAATTTAAACCATTATTAAAAAGGTGTCAGCTTGCAATTGTTTCGTTTCCTAGGATTTCGCAAAATAACAAACTGTTTGGATTCAACCCAAATTCACGATTTGCAGGTTTTACAGGATTTACAGGAAAAGCTGGTTCCGCCTTTAATAAATCTTATGAAAATTGGTGGTGAGTTAATCATATATTAAGTACACTGAGAAGATGACAATAAGAGATAATCTTTTGATTATAACTAAACATCCACTGAGAAATCGGCTGTCAGTATTTCAAACTTAAGATGACTACTGCTACGGTGCAATGTAAGTTCTAAAAAATTGGAAAAGGTGCAAACTACCGACACTTGGATATGATATACGTAGCTTTACTTTGATTTTTGATGTTCGACTACCTGTAATTTTACTTGTACATACACATTTAACACTATTAAATTTCATTCATACTTTTTAGTCAACGTTTTAATGTGAGTGTTGTATTTAATAAGCACACCATCTAAATATGTTTTAAATTTGTAGCTTAAAATATGCAAACAGATTCTGACTCCAGCTCGTCTTCTACTGAAACTGAATGGGGTACAATTTTTTTTTTAATTTTCTCGATTTTATAAATATTATAAAAAGTTTGAAACTACAACTCACATGTCTTTTGTTATAGAATTAACTATATTTTAATACAAAATTTTAATTATGTAAGGAAAGAAAAAATTTTCGAAACCTATCAATACNTGTACAATTTTTTTTTTAATTTTCTCGATTTTATAAATATTATAGAAAGTTTGAAACTACAACTCACATGTCTTTTGTTATAGAATTAACTATATTTTAATATAAAATTTTAATTATGTAAGGAAAGAAAAAATTTTCGAAACCTATCAATACATTTTACTACTATTTTCGTGAGCACAGCTGTACATACATACGTAATAACTTTGATTTGTTTTAAAGTAATGAAGTCGATTTCTACCTTACGCAATTCCTCACCGGTCATGGTTACTTCCAAGAATATCTCCATAGAATGGCTAGGGTGGACTCACCGTTCTGTCACTACTGTGGAAACGTCGAAGATAACGTGTACCACACATTCTTCACCTGCGAACACTTCTTGATTTCGCGCAGAATGTTGGAAGAAAGACACGGAGACATAACTCCGAACAACATAGTTGGGGTAATGATTTCCAGCGCAGAAAAGTGGGAAGCAGTTGCGAGATACGTGAAATTCGTACTCCGCTGCAAACGAGAGGACGGTTGTCTACTGAGGACACCCGAATGAAACGCCCCTACAAAAGAGCAGCCCCAAGGCTCTAACAGCGCGCTTCTGCATCTGAAGACATGCAGAATTGCGGTGCCAGATGCGGGATTCTTGCGCGGGCGGTGGGAGTTTGGGTTTTAGTGGGTAGCCCAACACGCTTCGGTGGGAGTCCCACACTCGGGCAAGGTAGTGTAGAGACTAGCGCCCCCGGCCAGTGCATAAAGCATTTCCCTCTCCTACAAAAAAAAAAAATAATAAAAATAAATTTTTATATCGATAATACTATACGTATTTAAAAGTCTATTAGTTATTATTTGTTAAATTAATGCGCTATTATTTTGTTGTTATATTGTTAAGAATAAAAAATACGCTTAAAAATGAACTGATTTTTATGGCTTTGTACTGATTATGATCCCAACTGTACTGATTATGTCACTATAATATCTGGCCACCCTAAATGAACTACAGTCATAAAGTTATGTAACACCATTCAACGGCGCTGAGATACTTGCTTGGGTGTTATGCTTGACAGTTCGTAGTTTGGAAACAAACAGAAAAACTGCTGAAAAGGTGCGTTTCCTGTGCACTGACCATTGGCAATATTTACCACAGTATATACAGTAATAAACCTTTTTGAATACTCCTCGGGAGTAAAACGCTCAACGCTTGTCGATTGACGCTGCACCAATTGAGAGGACTTTCAGTTATATTTATTTTTTATTGCGGTGCAATAATTCATTTTGAAGAATTGCATCGGGGCTGCAAATGTCGGATGTATCCTCCTGACTCTCGTCTTCACAATCTATCATCGTTCTTCTTCTTATTTCTTGTTATTTTAGTTAAAAGGCACCCAATTTTTAATAATAATTTTAATTATTGGGATCACGGACGATGAAGGTCTCAGACCTGCTTAGTTCCCGGGTGACTTCTTGAAAAGGTTCACCTGTAATGAATAGTTTGTAATTAGTTTATTTTTATTAGCTGAGCTCGATTTTTCCTAGCTACAGGCAGTCACAATTAATTGCTCACCGCTGTCGATACCGTCGTTTGTTGTTCCATTCCATGTTCTCAATGTGCTTTGATATTTTGATATCGTTAATATAGTATGGAAAGGACGTAATTAACATTGTCGCTGAAATGCAAAAAAGCTACAACTAACGAAAATTTTTAATTGCATAAAAAGATGAGGGGAATTATTATTCGATCAAATGCATTGTAATCAATCAAAAAGTGAATTTTATTTTTAGTTAGTTAATTAACTTACCCTAGCATTATAAGTGTTAGCACTATTTTAAATTATAAGTCATCTACACCACCCGTTGTATAAGCAGGTTTTAGATATTGAGATAAATGAACTACCCTGTTACATCTGTCAAGTCAACCCCTAACTACGACGACCACTGTGAACGTGGCTTCTGTTTCAGCCACACTAGAAACTGCAACCCACAATGTGGTTGGCTTTGCTGGGGCATCAATTGGAAGTGCCAGTCCATCGAACCAATCCGAAGAATCTGGTCGAATAGAGGAATAACTCAGAATATTGAGGCTACGCCGGGAAATAGCTGAGCTGGAGAGTCAGTGCAATTATATTACGCCCAGAAATCATATAAATTTCGAGGAGTTGGAAGCTGCCATGCCCAAGTTCAGTGGCGATTACCATCGCGATATCAATAAGTGGTTCATACAATTTGAAGACTATGCAGAAGCAAACAACCTCAGCGAGAGATATAAGTGCCTGGCCCTACGCCGTTGTAAGACGGGAAGAGCCAAGGAGTGCGTTCTTAACCACGGTCTTACTGATTATGACAGTTTCAGGACACTACCGCAAACAATGTTCCATCACCGGGCTACTAGGCAAGAAATTTACCGTCAGCTGCGAGCACTCAAATTGAAGTCCTACGAGTCTTGTATTGCTTACGCGGTGGCTATGCAATCTATTGCGTCGAAGATGGACCTGGAAGAAGAACTTGTTGACAAAATAATCGATGGCATACCAGACAGCAGCAATAAAATTTCCATTTTGTACGGTGCCCACTCGGCTAAGGAGCTTAATCGGCGTATGGATCGTTACGAACAACGGCGTTCGACGTTCTCTGCGTCCAGGTCCTCAGCTAAAGTCGTCGCACGCAAAACTACACCCAAGTCTACTACTGCGGTCGCCGGGGATCTAACCTCAATACGCTGCTACAACTGCTCGCAATTTGGACATTACCAGAGCAGCTGCCCAAAGCCGACCAGACCTGCAGGATCTCGCTTCACCTGTCACCAAATGGGGCACCAGCACAATAATTGCCCTAAGAAGAGGAGCCGACCCACTCAAGTAGCTGCGGTGTCCGAAGAAATTTCCAACGATGATGATTACCTAGATGTTAAGCAATGGGTAAGTGTGGCCTTATGCAAATCGAATCCAATCAGAAACACAGGTTTTATAAATATTTATTCTCTTCTCGATTCCGGTAGTCCGATTAGTTTGATGCAAAGATCAAGCACCCCAAAATGCACTAAATTATCATTTTACAAATTTCCAACAAAATTTATCGGCATCGGCAAACGCAGAATATACTTATTTGGCACAGTATTGTGCGCGGTAAGACTTCGTGATAAAACTCGATGCATTCAAATGATGATAGTTCCGGATAACACAATAACTACCCCTCTGATACTCGGTCGCGACTTCATGAAAATATTTAATATATATTTAAAACAAGTGAATAAGAATAATAAACATGAATTCCAGTTTTTGTTGTATATCTAAATTAAATAAAGTTGATATTAGTTATAATGTAAAATACAGTGTTTCTGATTCGATAGTAGTTAATTTATCTGACGGTGACTGCAGGGAACCTTCTGATAATGGTAAAAACAGCCAGGATGAGGTCCATAGTGGGGGTATCAACATGTTNGGGAAGTGAATTCCAGTTTTTGTTGTATATCTAAATTAAATAAAGTTGATATTAGTTATAATGTAAAATACAGTCTTTCTGATTCGATAGTAGTTAACTTATCTGACGGTGACTGCAGGGAACCTTCTGATAATGGTAAAAACAGCCAGGATGAGGTCCATAGTGGGGGTATCAACATGTTTAAAGAACGCGATGATAAAATGCCGAACTACAGTGATAATAATAGTGAACATACCGATGAATATACCGATGTATTGAGTGAGCTTAATGCGATTGACTGTGGGCTTGAACCAGATATAGACCTAGGACCTAAGTTAGATAGCGTTAAGCGAGAAGCAAGCACAACTATTTTTTATGATTCATATATGGCACCCTCAGTTATAGATAGGACACCCTATGAATATAAAATGAAAATCCGCCTAACTGATGATACGCCATTTTACTGTTTGCCAAGGCGGCTATTGTTTAAAGACCGTGCAGTGGTTCAAAGAATTACCGATGATCTGTTGAATAGACAGTAGAGTTGTAAAACTATCGATGGCACTATCGATAGTATCGATAGTTTCAATTTTTTTAGACTATCAATACTCATTGATAGTTTTTTTTTATACTATCAAAAATATCGATAGTTTAGTAGGACTATCGATCATCTCTCCCAAGTTTTTTGAAATTCTACATACATATCTTAATCGTTAATCCTTTTTTGTTTGTATAACTTGGGTTTGTTTTTGAACTTTCTAAAAAGAGAAGTATTTTGGCTAAGCAGATATTTAATTTTGAATGATTATAACTTTTATAAGATAATATTTATTTCACTATGATCCTGCAAAAAAAAACAAAGCAACCTAACTAATTTAGCACTATCGATAGCGCTATCGATAGTTTTGTTTTTTTCGAGACTATCGTGAATATTGATAGTTTTTCTATAGGGCACTCAATAAGAAAGCAATTCTAGATAATTTTCCACTGCCTTTGATTGAAGATTGTATCGAGCATATGTCAGGAAAGAGATGGTTCACCTTATTGGACCTAAAGGACGGGTTTAACCAACTGACAATAGACGTGGATTCTATTCCATTGACATCATTTGTTACACCACACGGGCAATTTGAATATCTTCGAATGCCTTTCGGACTAAAGAACGCACCAGCCAATTTTCAGAGATTTGTGTACAATATTTTTCGTGACTAAATAGATGCAAAAGAGATTGTAGTATATATTGACGATATCCTTATTGCGTCCACTGATTTCGAGAGTCACCTCCATACTGTAGGAAAAGTGTTGAAGAGGATTTACCTGAGAGAGAACTTAAGCTGAAGTAGTGTAAGTTCGGGTACAATGAAATAGAATACTTAGGATACCTCGTCGGCCCTATGGGGATACAACAATCAGACGCTCACATCCGTTCAATCTCCAATTATCCCATCCCGAAGAACCATAAAGAACTTCGCTCGTGCCTTGGCCTGTTTTCATATTTTCGGAAATTTGTACCATCGCTTTCAAAGACAACTAAGCCACTTTGAGATCTCCTACGGAAAGAGGCAGTATTCAATCTTACGGAACCATATTTAGAAGCCTTTAGGAAATTGAGAGAACAGTTAGTTAAGGCCCCAGTGCTAGCGATATACGATCANCTACATACATATCTTAATCGTTAATCCTTTTTTGTTTGTATAACTTGGGTTTGTTTTTGAACTTTCTAAAAAGAGAAGTATTTTGGCTAAGCAGATATTTAATTTTGAATGATTATAACTTTTATAAGATAATATTTATTTCACTATGATCCTGCAAAAAAAAACAAAGCAACCTAACTAATTTAGCACTATCGATAGCGCTATCGATAGTTTTGTTTTTTTCGAGACTATCGTGAATATTGATAGTTTTTCTATAGGGCACTCAATAAGAAAGCAATTCTAGATAATTTTCCACTGCCTTTGATTGAAGATTGTATCGAGCATATGTCAGGAAAGAGATGGTTCACCTTATTGGACCTAAAGGACGGGTTTAACCAACTGACAATAGACGTGGATTCTATTCCATTGACATCATTTGTTACACCACACGGACAATTTGAATATCTTCGAATGCCTTTCGGACTAAAGAACGCACCAGCCAATTTTCAGAGATTTGTTTACAATATTTTTCGTGACTAAATAGATGCAAAAGAGATTGTAGTATATATTGACGATATCCTTATTGCGTCCACTGATTTCGAGAGTCACCTCCATACTGTAGGAAAAGTGTTGAAGAGGATTTACCTGAGAGAGAACTTAAGCTGAAGTAGTGTAAGTTCGGGTACAATGAAATAGAATACTTAGGATACCTCGTCGGCCCTATGGGGATACAACAATCAGACGCTCACATCCGTTCAATCTCCAATTATCCCATCCCGAAGAACCATAAAGAACTTCGCTCGTGCCTTGGCCTGTTTTCATATTTTCGGAAATTTGTACCATCGCTTTCAAAGACAACTAAGCCACTTTGAGATCTCCTACGGAAAGAGGCAGTATTCAATCTTACGGAACCATATTTAGAAGCCTTTAGGAAATTGAGAGAACAGTTAGTTAAGGCCCCAGTGCTAGCGATATACGATCATACGCGAGAAACGGAAATCCATTGCGATGTCAGCAGTCATGGGTTTGGGTCTGTTCTACTTCAAAGTCAGGATGACAAAAAGCTACATCCGATTGCATACTTTTCAAAAACCACTACGGAAGCAGAGTCAAGATACCATAGTTTTGAGTTGGAAACTCTTTCCATTATCTATGGCCTCAGAAGGTTTAGGATTTACTTGGAAGGGATACCATTTACCATCGTTACCGACTGTAATTCACTAACCATGACCCAAAGCAAAAACCACGTAAATACACGAATAGCGTCATGGGCCCTAGAATAAGAAAATTTCGATTACTCAATTCGGCACCGAAAAGGCGTTAACCTCGGTCATGTAGATTCATTAAGCCGTTCTCCGCTGTCCCCGAACGCCGAGGCATTCAAATGTAGGTGTAGGTGAGAGGTGTAGAGTAGGTGTGAGTTAGTTGCTGCCGTTGACCACGATGACTTGGATTTTCAAATCCATGTTGCCCAGAATCGGGACGGCAGGCTCAAAGAACTTTTGAACGAACTGGAGAAAGGTGAAGTTGTAGGTTACGAGCTTATGGAAGGACCAGTTTTTCGAAAGCTGGGTAATGACTCCCTATTATACGTACCAACCGAGATGCAAGACAACGTTATCCGTATGGTGCACGAAAAAATTGGACATTTAGGCGTGGACAAGTGCCACGATCGAATACCTAAACACTACTGGTTTGATCATTTGCGTGATAAATTAGAACGGTTCATCCGTAATTGCATCAAATGTATACTATACTCAGCCCCAGCGCGCTCTAATGAGCACAACATGTTCAGCATTCCAAAGAAGCCGATTCCATTCGATACCCTTCACCTCGACCACTTCGGTCCTTTCCCAGCTATTAGGTCAAAACGCAAACATATACTAGTCGCTATAGACGCCTTTACTAAGTTCGTGAAATTATACCCAGTCAATTCTACAAGTACGAAAGAGGTCTGCTGCGCTTTAGAGAAATACTTCGGTTACTATAGTCGTCCAAGACGAATTATTACAAATAGGGGATCATGCTTTACCTCACTTGACTTTAGCAATTTTCTTTTAAAAAGAAATATAACCCACGTAAAAGTTGCAGTGGCTTCTCCACAAGCCAATGGCCAAGTATAAAGGGTTAATCGTGTTGTTAAAGTGATGTTAAGCAAGTTAACAGATTCAATGGAACACTCAGATTGCCCAGCAAAGCTCTCCCAAGTGGAATACGCTATAAACAATACGGCTCAAACAAGCTCTCGGCACAATCCTTATCCACTCGTCCTGAAATATACTAGCCAGAAATACGATTGCTTTATAAAAAAGAGAACCATTTTGAAATATGAGTGTGGGGAGGAGGGATTCAATATAAAAATTTGGAAAGTTGCAGGGAGAAAATAGTTGTCAGTACATTTAGAAAAAAATTCTCTACTTAAGGATAAGTTCTAGTAAAAATTTGCAAAGAAGTTTTTAAGGCAGCAAAACCGTACGAATTTTTTCTCAAACTACATATATGTATTTGTCTCATTACTTTAAACAATTAATTGTTGTAAATATGCATGTATATTAGGGTGGCTCTTAAAATGAAATTTTAAGTCTCACCCCCTCAGTCGCTAATACAATGGTCAAAGATATCACATATAAATTTTAGTCCCGATTGGAGACGGTTAAGGCGTGTCGCACAGGGGTCAAAGTTCAGATTGCTCTATGGAGACTCAAAAAATTTAAATACATTTTTTTTTCATCTAATACCCAAAATCGATACTACTGTAGGCGCAGATATCACGTATAACTTTTGGTCCCGATTGGAGTCGGTTAAGGCGTGTCACACAGGGATCAAAGTTCAGATTCCCCTATGGAGACTCAAAAAATTTAAATTAATATTTTTTTTTCATCTAATACCCAAAATCGATACTGCTGTAGGCGCAGATATCACGTATAAATTTTGGTCCCGATTGGAGTCGGTTAAGGCGTGTCGCACAGGGGTCAAAGTTTAGATTCTTCTATGGGTACTCAAAAATTTAAAATGGAATAAAAATAAAACAAATAAAATACAATATTATGTAAAGCAGTGTTTAGTTAAATTTCGGGACTACTGAATTGATACAACTGTAGTAAATATTACCGTGTAACAAATTGTCTGTTAAATGGGAAGCTAAGCG